ATGTAATCCAGAAAAACTTCAGATTCAGTGAAGGAAAAAAAATAAGTTTCCGAGTTTAATGCTAATGGCGCCATCTTTAGTTCAGAAAAGACATTTGAATGTTCCTACACTATTCGATATATGAATGGATTGAAAAAGTAGACTATGTCTTTAAACATTACAGTGGAACAAAATGCAAAGATTTCACAATGTGCTTAAGTTGCTAACACGGTTTACACATAATGTTAGTAAAATATCACTATATACTGGCATTTGTTGACTAGAAACAATAGATAATAAAACATTGCACTAAAAAATACTGTCTCAAAATAGGATTACCTGGATTTCTTCTTCTTCCTCTGTAGGATTGTCAATGAAAGTTGATTCTATCTTTTTTGCGTAAACCTGCCTACTTGAATAAGAACTCGAGCAGTGAGCGATTGAGTAAATAACCATAGCATGTGAAGATAACGTGTTTATAGCCGTTAATAATCTCTTAACAGGACAATTGTTCCGAATATGTCGGATTAAAAAAAAAAGAAGAATAAGCTCTAAACACCCTTTTCTTTCACCAGATGGTGATGTAGATAACATTAGCCACAAACATTCATCGCTTCTTTGAATTTAAATAATTTATTCAATTCGCGTAACAGTTAATAGGATATTATTAACAACAAATAAAGTAAAATTAAGAATTAAAACAGATTAGTTCCTCGTTATTAAAATTCATCACATTTCCATATCCACAAACTAATAAAGATTTTAAAATGTTTAATATTTGACAAGAAGTGGAAATTAATTTTAAACCATATTTAGCCTACTTTACAACGTGATGATAGCTAAGCCATATTTAAGTAAGAAACACGTGCTATACATAGCTTACATCTGTCTGTTAGCTGATTGTCTAGGCAATAAACAATTATCTAAATCATTTAGGAAAACTTTCACTTCACTAAGTTTTATCCTTTTAAGGCACGATATATTTTAATTTAGGTTACTACAGTCTAAGTTACGATCCCTTGATCACATTAGTATTGAAGAAAGGGAAAATTTGTCTAAGTTACGATCCCTTGATCACATTAGTACTGAAGAAAGGGAAAATTTGTCAAAGATACTGAGGTATAGAACAAAAATGGCGAATTTTCTAAAATGAGCTTATGTACTAAGATACTTTTTTCAGACCCACAAAGAAACAATCGTGCTATTATAACTTGATATCTTACTAACTTGTAATTGTTTCTTTTTATTTTCATATTACAAATTATAAAAAGTTTTCAAGGGACTGATAAATTGTTAATAGTCTACGAAAATAAATACAAACTACAAAGTGATTTTAAGCGACATTCTAATTATTATATAAACTATTTTTAAATATATACATGTTTATATATAAATATAGTCGTAACTTCATAATAGGGATTGCAAAAACTTTTTTTGAGTTTTATTTGAAGCTTGCAATTTCTAGAATCTATGAGATTAAACATGTATTTATAATTTTGCGCGAAATATAAAGGTCATGCCTCATTATTAGTGTTTATATGTTGAATGGAAAATTCCAGAGTGATGGTGTCAGAATGAGGGATAATTTTAATTTTTAGCTACATTCCGTAATTGTACAAATAGTTGGATTTAGTGCCAAATCTACAGTTTGATCAATCCATTTTACATCACGCTGTTTGGCCCTACTGTACGTTGATATATATATATATATATTATAAGATCTCACTGTACATCGTTTTACAAATGCTTTTAGTAGGTTAACCAGATTTCGAGAATGAAAACTGGGACATTTTAATTCCTATACTGAGTGATACTGTAACAGCTTTAAAACAGTTTAAGTTACAGCAGTACACTTTTACCATTTGTTAAATAGTTTAATGTTTACTGCACCATTTGTTTTGAATTTCGCGCAAAGCTACACGATAGCTGTCCCTAAATTATCAGAGAAACACTAGAGGGAAGTCATCACTACCCACCGCCAACCCTTGGACTACTCTTTTACCAACAAATACTGAGATTGACCGTCACATAATAAAGCTCCAAAGGTTAAAAGGACTAGCATGTTTGGTGGAACGGGGATTCGAACCCGCAGATTGCGAGTCGAGCGCTCTAGCCACTTGGCCATGCCAGGCCTTAGTGCATTCCGTTTTAATACTATAGACAAACAAAATTTGTTAAAAGATTTTCCTGTTAAAGTAAAATAAAAAATAAATAAAAAACGCACTTAAGTTGCCTTTAACTTACTCAGACGAAAAAAGTTGCTCCTTCATTTCCTTTTTCTCGGCTGGGCAGGTCTTCAAATCTCAATCCCTTCCCCTTCCTAATGGCAGGTAAGGTTAAGAAAACGTAGAAGAGACGGGCCGAACACCGTGCCATGTGATCTTGCTTTGTCAGGAGATTATTGAAGTAAATTTTATAGGAGCCGTGTATAATGACAAACCGTACAAATCAAATTCAAATTGAGGCACAAAGAAATTTGGGCAGTTTAATACTTTTACTGTACCTATTCAGGGCGAAGAAAAAAGAATAAGGCTACAAACTGGGATGTTTGTTAACCCCAGCTTGTAGGCCTTACTTCGCATTTATATTTGATTTTTTCACACATGCTACTAAGCCTAACTGTACATACTATTTACAGTTGTTAATGAAGCTGAAATTAAAGGAAGAGTAGTGTACATATTTACACACATAATTAACAACATCTAAAACTCAAGACTTTTTTAGCGAACCTAGAGTGTTAAAAACGAACTATTATTCACTTGGTAACTGAGTACCTACAGTTGTAAAATATTAATTCTAATGAGCATCAAAGAGCTTAAACTGTGACAAGTTTCCAGTACTTTCGAGTCCTAATGACCTATATAATTGGGAAGTTTATCTATAAAATGTCTAGAAGTTTTTATTTGAGTATTAAAAATTTTCTAAATGAGAAATTGAGTCCTTAGATTAGCGCTTTGCAAATGATATATAACTAAAACTATAATTACTTCTACAAATAGTTGTGAATGTTTTTTGTGTGAAAACGGTAATGTTGTACTTTCAACAGTCTGTTGATTAAATACATTCATATTTTTAACTGCAATAATAACCCAGGCTATTCACTTAGGTGGAAAAAGAGTCGCATGCACATTCCAAATTTCTCGGAATTTTTTTTTTTTTTTATGGACCATGCTCATGTTTAAAGTGCCGTGGAAATCTACAAACACAGATCTTCCTGGGCCGAGATATTGAAAATGGAAAGAGGGGGGGGGGGCAAACGCTTGTGATGAACGTGTTGGTACCCAAGGTTTAAAATACTTAACTCTCGACATAGACGTAATATAAAACTCAACAAGTCCTAGGGAAGGACGCTAGAAAATAACTTCTACATAGAGGGTTATGGGGAACTAGCATGTGTACTTACTAAATATAAGGAGTGGAGAACCTTGAAGGGTGACTTCTTTAAACAGAATTACAAGAGAATTTCTCTTATTAAAAACTGTCATTGATAACGAAACTGTTTAATTCATAATTATTAAGTTCATACTACTAAATACTTACACCATAGGTGTCAACAGCAACACTTCTAGCTTTACCATCACGTATAAACAAGGGAAATTAGACGTCGACAAAAAATCTAGCATTTCAAAATTCATAGCTTAACGGAAGCACATTATAAAATCTCATTATATCCTTTTTAAAGCATGGTGTATAAACAAGAAAATAATTGTACAATACCAAGCATTCCTCAATATACAACCGAATCTAACTGTTCACACCCTTAAATACAACTTGGTTCCAGATGGGGATATTTGTTTGGAACAGCTAAGCGTTACATGATATTTTTAGAACAGGTACACATGGGAAAAAAAAATCCCATTTATGAAATGCGCTTAAGTTATGCAAACAGGACTTTACAATGCAGCAACAAAATTTAATGTTCAAACATATAGATGCACGCCTTTAATTTAGGTAATGACTAAATACGTAAGCAGTAGAAATATTATATAATTCTGTGAAGCCTAGCTCTTAGCAGCTTTCTCCAAGATAAAAAGCATCGATAAAAGGAATAACGATATACATAAAAGGAGTTAACCAAGTCGTCGTCATTCTTTGAATAACGATATACATAAAGGAAGTTAACCAAGTCGTCGTCATTCATTGAATAAAGATATACATAAATGGAGTTAACCAAGTCGTCGTCATTCATTTCTAATGACTCTAGCTAAAATAATGCTTATAGATAAGAAAAAAGAGAGAAAAATCTAGTGTTAGTTAATACTTCGTCAGTAAAATCTCCCAGTAAATCTAGATAGTTTGGGAGGTCGTTGTCGATCATTTAAAAACAAGTTAACTCAGGGGCAGATCCAGGAATTTAAGAAGGGGGTCCAGATATTACTATCAAGACTGCCTCACAGGCGTATTAAAAATCAACAAGTATTTTTCCATAATTTCTATTATAACTGGAAACGAAACATTTGTGCGCAATTTGAACCATCAGACGAAACCAAACACTAGTATTTACATTTTGGAATTCTGATGAAAGGGGGGGTCCCCCATGGATCTGCCCACAAATTATAGGCTGCTACTTGGAAAGAGTGAGATGTCCTCGGTCAAAAAACATAAATCTAGAGAAATCATGTAGTCGTTGTCGTCGAACTTCTAAATAACGTAGTTTTAAAAGCATAGGCTGTAGAACATATTTGAATTTGATGGTGGGGGTGAGGGTAGCGACGATTGGGGAACTGTATTTGCTATGTTAACTGTGATATTTAAAGTCCAAACTGAAAGAATGACTTTTCATGATTGTTAGACTGAAATCTATTCCTCATTCGAAGGAGCATTTCGCTATTGGGTCAAAATTGGGGGGAGAGGCACATGCCCACGATTCCACCGCCTATGTTTGCAACAAGCCAAACACACACACACACATGCGTTTACATTTTTTAAAATGTCATATCACTTTATGCCAAATATCTGTTTTCATAGAATTCACTAAACTGTTTTTAAAAATGGACATAAAATTAGAAAGGAACGCTCGGTATCTCACAGAAAGTGCGGTAATAATAATAATTATTAATGAAAGGTCAACTTCACAGGCTTATAGTACTGGGTGCTTTAAAAGGGGTGCTGCGAGGGGAGAGGACATTAGATCCTTCTTCGCGACGTCGTTTGTTCTCGAGATGGGTGGCCTTTAGTTCTCCCAGATTTCTCAGCTCTTCCATTTCTTCCTCCTAAAAGTAAAGAAGAACGAAATTAGCTCTACTTTACTCAGAAGCATGTTTTTTAGGTAGAAGCAGAAATCTATATTTAACTTTTGTTAAGGCTTTTGAAAATGAATTCATCCTGTGTTTGTATATAGCTCACAAATAATTAGTGAATATAACAGTTTTGATTTTGCATAAGTACTTGTAGCCTTATTAAATAGTTATGTATGACATCGAAATCCCGACTGGGCAACTTCAGTCATTAACTAGAACAAACCTTTCCATATTACACAATTTTCTGTTCTGATCTATATGTTGTCTTCGTTATTGCGTTTCCTAAAGTAATTATCGAATACATACTTGGATGAAATAATTATTCATCATTTAGAGCCTCAGTGTTTTGTAGACTTCGATTAACTGACAGTTATTTCAACGTTCAAATTTATAACGTCATATTAACAGTTACAAATTTTAAGCTGCTTAACGAAGCAATGCCTATTACGAAAAACGTGTATAAGCTGTGTTAGATATAAGTTGATTAAACATAAAATTAAGAATAAGCTCACCTATCATATGGAACAATAGATAATGACATACAATCCGAAAACTTATTTAGCAATAAAAATAGAACACGGTGAGTACGATATTTTAAAACTATATTGTTGTGGCACTTTTATCCTGCATTATTTCCCTGAATCTGTTAATATATATATATTTGGAATATTAATTAAAGTTTTCAAAATATCATAGCCATTGATACTTGATTATCATTCTGGAAGCCAGAATATTTAGGTTCGAACCTGTGTTTCAGTATTGAATACATGGATTTGCTATTTTAGAACAAACATAAATACATCTTTATTGAAAAAATATGATGACTGACAAACCATTTATTAAGATTTAGACAAAATAAAATTCATATTTTTTTTTTTTGCAAATAAGACGTAGTAAAATCATTCTTACATTTTGTTGTAACCTTAGTACGAGGGCTCTTCGTCCGTCGGCCATGGCTTGAGAGTAGCGGAGAAGTTGCTTCAAACACTCAGAAGGTGGCACCCCTCTCTCTACCACTAACACAATTCTGGCCCACTGTAATAGGTTTAGAATAGAAGTAAGAACAATTACTTCCGGAAACTTTTAAACATTTGTTCAATGTTAAATATGTCATCATAATATATGTTTTTAAAAGTATGCACAAAAGTAAATCTAATCGTTATGTCAGGCAATTTAGTCAATATTTATGTTTTAGTTTTTCCTTTCATCAGATATATTATTGTTAATCTTTTAGTACAAAGCTATATAATGGTTATCTGCATTCTGTCCACCGCATGGGATCAAACCTCAGATTTTTGTGTTTTAATTCTGTAAACTTCCCGCTGACCCACCAAGGGACTTCACATGAAATCTCTTAGCTGTTTATTTTGTTAATCAGAAACATAAAACTGATAGTGCAATAGTTTATTTTTTAATGCTGTAAATGCACAGTTTAAAGCAACAATTCTAGACAAAAACACACTTTGCTTTTGATAAGTGGCCGTCTACTAGTAAACTGTAGCTAAAAGAAAATTGATATGATTGTCGAAGAAAAACACAAGCTAAAACTGTATATTTCGAGCTCTACTTTAGTCTTCTTTCTCTTCACCTAACCTTATTCTCATTTACTTTTGGAGTTGGCCACCCAGGTATTGTGCATCAGTGAAGAACTTTTACATTGAGGTGGGTGGTCCTGACAGTAATTCTAAAGGGCGAGCATAATCAGTGACGGGGTTTCGAACCCGCGACCCACAGATTGTGAGTCGAGCGCTCTCATCATCAGGCCATGCCAGGCCTCGAGTCTGTATATTATAGTACAATTTTAGAATATTCCGCTGTAGGATCAGCTTGAAAAATTGACACTTGTGTTACAAAATTGAAGAAGGCTTAGACCTGGAATAAAATACCAACCGCAACATTCTTAAAGACGAATTTCACAAAATTAGAGTAACACGAAGACATTGCTGTACTAAACTTTTCAGAAAATTGGACTATCATAAATACAAGGTTATAGATGGCGCTTAGAGAAACCTAGAATCTGAAAGTAAATAAAAATATACCACATTTAGAATTTCTTAAATAATGAAAAAAGAATAACTTGTTTTCTAAGTTAAAGTCAGATTTCTTGATACGGAAGTTTGTTCTAGAAATCATTTGATAACTATATTACAACATCGTTTTCGGATTCTTTGGATAAACTTAAAACTGTTGATTTTATCCAATTAAAGCAGTATACAGAAGCTCAGAATAATATATATCTCTGTAGAATTAGAACTACTCAACTTAAGAAATTAAATAGATTAAAGGCAACATATGCTTGAAGACAGTTGTGTTGAGAACCCCTATAAAGTAATACATTATTTATTGAATTATACCAGAATTGAAGAAATATAGTCATCACTAGGTTTGGGATTTCTGTCAGTAGATTTAAATTAGATTTTGCAATTTTTTGACAACAGTTAATCAAAGAAATTAATTATATAAGTGGGAATAAATCATTTGATAATATCGTTACCGAGGTTTCAGGTGTGGCCTTGATTGTTTACCACTCTTTCAGATTGAATTATTCTAAAGCTAATTTATCTACTGAGGAATTTGTTGCTCTGAAACGTTTAAGTTTTTTCAGATACTTGGTATTTTCAAAACCTGACAAGAGCAATGGTGTAGCTACTTTGGATGTATATTCATATTATTACGTCTCCGTTCGTTAGTTAATTTTCCGTAAATTCGTTCCGACGAAA